TATTTTTTTCCGTAAAATATATATGTATATATATATCGTATATATATATATTTCGGTTTTTGATTTTTAACTCATGACTGGCTACGAATTTGAACATGACTCCAAGGCAAAAGTTGCTTGTATTGTTATTGTACATAACATATATTTTTCTCAGATTTTTTTGAGTACTTGTTTTTGTTTTTTTAAATATTTTTTGTGTTCACGTTCGGAGGGTTTTGGGTGCTTGTTCGCCTTCGGGCGAACATGTTCGCGTTCGCCTCCGAACGCGAAGACGGTGCTACGTAGGTTACAAAGTATCTTAATTTTTTTTAGATTTTACCGAGAAAATCAAATAAAATCAAGACATCATACGAACGAGATACAATGGATTCAAGAGGGGAAGAAAACACATGATTCAAGTACATTTGGGGTCAATATTGAGCCAGAATGCACTTGGAAATTAGCCGCTTCATTTTGTTTCAGTTTGGGGCAAGTTGCAGGGTAATTAAATTAGGAAAATGACCACTACTGCACTCTGATAAATAACGGACTGCATAGGGGTGCCAAGGCCAAGGGAAAATGAGCCTTGACACACTCAAGACAATAGAAAAAAGTGTCTCAAGCATTGGGCAAGTGCTAATGGTAAATGACAACCTTGAAATGAGGATTTCGATGCCGGAAATAATCGACGCACTTGAGACACATGGAAAGGATAAATTGGGCTATCGGGGACTAGGAAGTCCCCAAAACAAAATGGGTCATTATCGAAAACAATTCCGAAGACTAGGAGAGATGGTTGACGAGTGCATATATTTTCAGGTCTCCTTTCTAGGCAGTTCATCCATTTTAGGTTACTACATCACTTTCAGATTGTGTGTGTATCTATACATGGGGTTGTCTGAAACCGCGTTCATGCAGTTTAACCAGTTCAGGTTGATACACCATTTTCAGATTCCCTACAGATCCATTGCAAATGGTGGGATGGGGGTACCTGAAACCCCTTTCAGAAGCTTCAACCACTTCAGCAGTTTCATGTCCCCACATGAAATTCCTAAAATGACCTGAAGTGGCTGAAGCTTCTGAAAGGCGTTTCAAGTACCCTCATCCAACCATTTGGATGGGGCTAACTGAAACCCCTTTCAGAAGCTTCAACCACTTCAACGGTTTCATGTCCCCACCCGAACTTCCTGAAATGACCTTAAGTGGTTAAAGCTTCTGAAAGGGGTTTCAGGTCCCCACCTGAAATTCTTGAAATGACCTGAAGTGGCTGAAGCTTCTGAAAGGGGTTTCAGGTACCCCCATCTAACCATTTGGATGGGGGTACCTGAAACCCCATTCAGAAGCTTCAGCCACTTCAGCGGTTTCAGGTCCCCACCTGAAATTCCCGAAATGACATGAAGTGGTTGAAAAACCAGGCAGACAAAAAAAAGAAAAAAACATAAAACTTGTCCTGCAAACCACCCGAAACTTCTGAAATGACATGAAGTGTCTTCATGCCATTTCAGCGGTTTCAGACCACTCTCGATTCTTTCATTATAAAATTTGAAGTGGTCGTTAACCGCGAGTGAAGACAAGATGAACCCAAATAAAAATAATCAAAATTTGAAACATGTGCCGGCGGGACTACCGTCGGGGCTAGAAAATGAAACTGGTATGGGGTGAAAAGCGATAACTTGAGTTACATGGAAAGCAAATAGCATCATCAAAATCAGAGAAAAGGTTAACCGACCCTCCGAAATATGTTAACCTAGCAAGGCATGAGAAAATATAGCCCCAAGGGACTATATGAAGAAAATAGGCCGTCAAGGAAAAATTGGAGCGACGGGGGTAAAAAATTGAGACTAACGGAGGCAAAATGGAGCCCCCATGAGTGTGGGGGTTTTATTATTCTGATCCATGAAATAACGAACAACAACTTGATTTATATCTGGATTTAGATCAAAATCCACGACCTAGAAAATGAGTCTATTATTGTTTGACACTTGTCACAGCAAAAAAAAAAAAAATAAAAAAAAAAAATGAAGAAAATGGAATGAGAATGAGACAAAACGGAAGAAAAGGGTGGAGGAGAATGTGCCGACCAATTGGGACTGACACAGTACAGACTGGCAGGTCCCGCCATAGCCCTGTCTCTTATACACATCTAGATGTGTATAAGAGACAGGAGAATGAGACAAAAGGGAAGAAAAGGGTGGAGGAGAATGTGCCGACCAATTGGGACTGACACAGTACAGACTGGCAGGTCCCGTCTATGACCTCATCACTTCGGATTTAATGGAGGTCAATCTCAAATAACGAGATAAGGCCCTTGGGGCATTATCTCGACAATATTCAAATTAAAAAGTAGAGGTGATATGGTTGTTTTTTAAGGGGCGATCTAAAACAGCTAACTTCGGAATGAGTTGGTAACCTAAAATAGAAAGAAACAAAACAAAGAAAAAGACGAAACAATGCATTTGGTCGAAAATGAAGGCCATATGCACAAAAAATTAAAAAAGTGAGTCTTGAAGCTCAAATCTAAAGCAATGGTCACTTTGGGGTAGTTTAGATTAATGCTGGCCTCGAATCTCATCCAGATCCAAGGCTGAGAATGCACCGAAACACAAGAAAACACGTCGACCTACTCAAATTGGAGTAGGACTAAAAAAAATCGAGAAAAATGTCTACAAGGCATTTTTCTTTCAAGTAGGGTTGCCCGTTGAATATTCGGACCCAAGATGCAGCATCTGAAAATGAAAATAAAGCATGAGGAGACTTTAGAGGCTTTCCGAGTTAGTACCAACCACTCGGACTGCATGTGCTTCGTCGAAAAGAGACTCGGGTGTTCTTGGAGATGCCTAGTGAAGAGGAAAAACCTTGGGGTTATTGGGTTTACCATGGGGCACATGGAGAGGCCAATGGGCTGACCGAAGTGTTGTGCCCAACCTATATAAGCTGGGGGAGCAGCCCACCACACTCACATTTGCATGAAGAAAGTACATGTTGCCCGTATGAGCCAAAAAAAACTCTATACTCAACCGTGAGTGAGAGGAGGGAAACCGATGCCGGTTTGAAAGCTTGGAGGAGACTGCAGGTTAGGGAGGAGAGTTACTGAGACCAGTAGAGGATGTGCCAGCTTAGAGGAGTGATCCGCTATAGCCCTCAAGTTGTGTGGAAGAGAGTAAGGCTAGTAGGGGTCTCCTTAGCCCTCCTAAAGAGAATGACTTCATAGCCTTAGTGATAGGAGTTTGCCATAGCCTGAGAGAGATTGAGGAAGGAAGAAGGAGGAGGGTTTGAAGAAGAATGAAGCCATAGTTGGGCTGCAAGTGTGCAAAGAGAAGGAAAAACTTCATCAAGATTAACATCTCAACTTCAAGACACTAGAGGAGGTGAGTGAAAAAATGAGAAGTTGCTCTCTTTCTTCATCACATTCTTTTTTTTTTTTTTTTTTTTNTTTTTTTTCCCTATTTTTTCTTCCTCCTCCTCTTCTTCTTCATCATTCTCTATTTCTTTTTTCTCCTTCTAACTGTTTTTCATCTTTTCTCACTCGCCCCTCACTCTATCTCCTTCCTCTTTCCTTCCCTCCTCTTTTTTTCTCTCCATAAATAACAGACTAAGCATGAGAGAAATAGAAAATAGCTTCTCCACAAGAAGGTGTCTCTGTATTGATCACTTTCTCACTCCATTGTAAATCGTCACTTTGTATTTTATGTTTCAAGCTTGGGAGTAAATGGTAACTTTAGTTTTTGCTCATTTTTATGTTATAGTTATCACATACTCATGCTCTATATTTTTTTTCAATTTATTGTAAATCGTTACTTTATATTTTCTGTTTTTAAGCTTGGAAGTGAGTTTCACCCACTCTCCCTCTATGTTTTGTTCATCTTTCCACTTGGAAGTAAATTGCAAGTTTAGTTCTTGCTCATTCTAATGTTGTAGTCATCACATGCTAATGCTTTTCCCATTTCTTCAATCCATTGTGGATCGTTGCTTTGTACTTTGTGTTTTCAAGTTTGGGAGTGAGTGAAAATTTGGACTCCCTCTATATTTTATCCATCTTTTTTTTTTTTTTTTTTTTTTTTTTTTTTTAACAAACGGTCTAGGGTGTAGTAGAGGGTGGAGGTCAGGACTCAAGAACAACCATTTCGTCAAAACGGACATATTCTATTTTTTGAACGAAATCAAAACTGACTTTTTTTGCCGAAATCCGGTCGGAATTTTTTGCTCATGGGGGTCCGGCGTTCCCAAAACGCCGGACCCCCCTGGTCTATGGTTGAGACCAGATACAAAAAAAAAAAGAAAAAAAAAAAAAGTATCTGGTCTCAACCATAAACCAGGGGGGTCCGGCGTTTTGGGAACGCCGGACCCCCAGGAGCAAAAAATTCCGACCGGGTTTTGGCAAAAAAAGTCAGTTTTGATTTCGTTCAAAAAATATAATATGTCCGTTTTGACGAAATGACTGTTTAAGGAGTGTCTCGGTACTCATCTATTGGGAGATCAAATGAATTGTTCATCTTTCCACTTGGAAGAAAATCGCAATTTTAGTTTTTACGCTTTCTAGTGTTGTAGTCATCACATACTCATGTTTTGTCCAATTTTTTCACTTGGGAGTTAGTCGCAACTTTCAGTTATTGCTTATTCTAGTTTAGTATTAGTCATTAACTCATGTTTTGTCTATTTCTTCAATCCACTATGAATCGTCACTTTGATCCTTGATTTCCCTAATATAGTGAGTCTCCTTCTCAAAATGAATTGCCGATTCCAGGGGCAAACGGCGACGGAATCATGCCTAATTTTAGGAGGGTCGTCAGTAGGGTGTAAATAAAGGGCCTCTAGAGTTACAAGGCCTTCTTACGTCGTTTATGCCACCAAACACAAATCTGAGTTTTTTAGTTTTCCCTCCCATAACAAAATTGGCGAAAACATAAAATTTGCAATCTGAGTTTTTCGTGGTCTGAGTTCTTTTTTCAAGTATGATTTTTGCAAAATTTGAGTGTCTGTTGCAAGTCTGAATTTCGTAAGTTTGAATGTCCCGATGGTTCAGATGTTAGGACAATACAAGTAGGAAAGCATCGGAAGCTTACTAACCACCATAACCAAGCACCTTCGCACCTTCTTCCTCCTCCACCTCCTTTACCCATTCACCATAGTCGAGGACCTTCACACCTTCTTCCTCCTTCATCTCCTTCACTTGTACATCATATTCAAACACCTTCACCCCTTCTTCCTCCTCCACCTCCTTCATCCATCCACCATAGCAAAAAAACTTCACACATTCTTCCTCCTTTACCTCCTTCACCCATCCACCATAGTCGAACACCTTTAAACATTTTTTGTCTTCCCCCTCCTTCACCCATCCATCATAGCCAAGTACGCTCACACCTTCTTCCACCTCCACCTCCTTCACCCATCCACCATAGCCAAGCACCTTCACACCTTTTTCCTCCTCCACCTTCTTCACCCATCCGCCATGGCCAAACACCGTCACACCTTTATCCTCCTCCACCTCCTTCACCCATCCACCATGGCCAAGCACCTTCAGACCTTCTTCCTCCTTCATCTCCTTCACCAATCCATCATAGCCAAGCACCATCACACCTCCTTCCTCCATCTCCCTCCCCTATCCACCATAGTCAAGCACCTTCACACCTCCTTCCTCCTCCACCTCCTTCACCTATCCACCATAGCCAAGCACCTTCATACCTTCTTCCTCCTCCATATCTCACCCCTATCCACCATAGCCAAGCACCTTCACACCTCCGTCATCCTCCACCTCCTTCACCCATCCACAATAGCCAAGCACCTTCACACCTTTTTCCTTCTGCACCTCCTTCACCTATCCACTATAGCCAAGCACCCTCACACCTCCTTCCTCCTCCACCTCCTTCCTCCCCCACCTCCTTCACCCATCCACCATAGCCAAACACCTTCACACCTTCATCCTCCTCCACCTCCTTGACTTATCCACCCTCATAGTCGAGCACCTTCACACCTTCTTCCTCCTCCCCCTCCTTGCCCCATCCACCATAGCCAAGTACCTTCACACCTTCTTCCTCCTCCACCTCCTTCTCCAATCCACCATAGCCAAGGACCTTCACACCTTCTTCCTCCCCCACCTCCTTCACCCATCCGTCATGGCCAAACACCGTCACACCTTCATCCTCCTCCACCTCCTGCACCCATCCACCATAGCCAAGCACCTTCACACCTTCTTCCTCCCCTACCTCCTTTACCCATCCGCCATGGCCAAGCACTGTCACACCTTCATCCTCCTCCAGCTGCTGCACCCATCCACCAAAGCCAAACACCTTCACACCTTCTTCCTCCTCAATCTTCTTCACACATCCACCATAGCCAAGCACCTTCACACCTCCTTCAACCTCCATCTCCCTCCCGTATTCAGTCAAGCACCTTCATACCTCCTTCCTCCTCTACCTCCTTCACCCATCCAGCATAGTCTAGCACCTTCACACTTTCTTCCTCCTCTGTCTCCCTCCTCTATCCACCATAGCCAAGCATCTTCACACCTCCTTCACCCTTCCACTATAGCCAAGCACCTTCACACCTTCTTCCTTCTCCACATTCTTCACCCATCCACCATAACCAAGCGCCTTCACACCTTTTTCCTCCTCCATCTCCTTCACCTATCCACCATAGCCAAGCACCTTCACACCTTGTTCCTCCTCCATCTCCTTCACTCGTCCTCCATAACCAAGCACCTTCATACCTCCTTCACCACTCCACCACAACCAAGCACCTTCACGCATTCTTCCTCCTCCGCCTCCTTCACCCATCCGCCATAGCCAAACACCTTCACACCTTCTTCCTCCTCCACCTCCTTCACCCATCCACTATAGCCAAGTACCTTCACAGCCTCTTCTTTCTCCACCTCCTTGGCCAACCAGTACCATGATGAAAGGTATATAGGGTTGCGGCTCATCAAAGGGGTCTTAGGTCGGACGGTAGGACGGATAGAAGTCGGTCTTCTATTAGAGTAAGTTTTTTTTTTTTTTTTTTTTTTTTT